TAATTTTCCGAGGCAAACAAAAAATGCGAAGAATGTGGTAAAATGTGCCAATAAAAATGGGAAAACATACGTGGGAACGTACAGCTTAGTAGATCCGAGCACCCAAAGACAAGGCCGGAAATGACTCACTTTTATTATTGTCCATGCAGGACAGTCTATACAAGGAGCATGCTCACGATCCTTGTGTCGGGACACCTGTAATATTACTAGTCGGTGATGCCAGAAACAAACGATGGACGAAGGGCTAAATTAGGACATGGCCCCATTCATCCTAGTTGGGCCTATCCCCTAAGACGGGGATATGTACTAACAGCGTGAATGCAGTCTGTTATCAGCCAACTGAATAAGTCGGACAGGACGTTTGTCTTTGGTGCTCAGTGAAAGATTTGATTTCCCGCTGAAATCAAAGCAAATTTAAAGAGGAGCTCATCAGTTATGGCTACTGTGCCAGATGTCCCTGTCGGGCTAAGTGTGGAACCGCGAATCATAATTTTTCGAGTTTGCCTCGTTATCCTTCTACGTAAAGAAGTAAAGAGCATATTTTCCTATTCACTGCCTTCCAAAATGTTTGACCGAAGGTTTGAACTTAATAAGCCACCCGAAACATTTTGTGCATTGCGCATGTTCCTATCATCAAATTCGGCGGCTTCTCTTCTGTTCTGGGCCTTTCGGTTAAAAATTTATATTTACTGCTGGACATGCCTGCCTTTGTCCTTGTCAGCTCCTACCCTTGTCAGCAGCAGTGTAAGTGATAAAACTGATCCGTCCACGGTCTCACCCCTAGCATCCCATTTTGGGGATCACGCTTAGTCACCTTTATGTCTGTAGACCATAAACTATATAGTTCGGACTCTGCGGTACTTAGCTCGTGTTCGTAAAACTAGAATTTCTCACATTTGGCATCCGCGAGTCTGGAATGCAAATCCTATCATTAGATGCTGTCCTGTGACGTTTTTAATTGTCCGAACTCTACCTCACCATCTTCCTTCTGTTTATATGGCATGACCACATACATTTCATTACCTTTATCGACTTACAAGAAAACAGCAAAATTTGTACATAGCTCAAGTGTAAATGTGTTTTATTGAATTAACTAATTTAAAGTATTTCTGCGCGGGCGCGTTCTTTCACTGTTTTCGCCGGTCTAATGTTTCTGCTAAAGACTCCTGCCGTATTGTCAGTGTCCAGAGTATGCACTCGGTTACTTCACTACAACGCCAGAGTTCTGGGTAATTTAATTTTCGGTCCGTTACGTATATCATAGCGCCCATAAGAGTTGGTATGCCGTCATTGTCGCCCACCATGGAGAGCGGTACAATTGTCAAATGGCACAAAAAAGAGGGGGACACAATTGCTTCTGGTGACGTTCTGTGTGACGTGCAGACCGACAAAGCCGTTGTTGGTCTAGAAACGGACGAGGAAGGTGTTATGGCGAAGATAATTGTACGTTATATCAGCAAGCATCCCCTGTTGCCTACCTTTTTGCTGCTTTACAAATGCCTCATATGCACAGCGTAATAATTCTCGGTGCTGCCAATTGTTATTTGCACTGCAAAGATTATCCCTCCCTCCAGTTTGAAATCTACTCAGCAAGTCAAATAATGTTACAGGCTTCTGCGTGCATCTCTATCACGACTGTTTATTTATCGTAGAAAGAGGCTGGCAGCACAAATGTTGTCCAAGAGACGATTGCAATTATTGCAACAACCGACGAGGACTGGAAAGAAGTGGCTGCGAATGCTGATGCATTTCTTGCCTCTTCGGGAGCAGCTGCGCCCCCGGCCACTGCTGCACCACCACCCGCTACTGCGCCATCAGAGCCGCCACCCGTAAAGCCTTCTGATGGCAAGCAACCTCCCTTAGGGCCTGCAACGCGGCTCCTCCTTTCCTCTTTCGGCCTTACAGCTGACCAGGTAACAGGAACTGGCCCACGCGGACAGGTTCTGAAGGGGTAAGTCTTACTTGAACTGCCAACGTTGCCGAATCCGAAAGACATTTGTGGTCGAAGTGAGGTGGATGTAATCCTGAAGTTCGTATTAGGACCATTTAAAACTCACATTATTGTGCAGTTAGTATACGGAAGTGGAGATGGCTGGCGCTGGAGCTGCGTAAGGATAGGTCTCGTTTTGAGACAGCGGCCGGCATGACGTTTCCTGTCATTAGATTAGCTGTTTGTCCAGTCCTCTTATTCTGTAAATTTCCTTACATAATCTCTAATGGGCATGGGTTTGTTTAAACTAAATTTGTCGCTCTCCATGTCCATGGCGTCCGAGTTGACCCCTCCACATTTTCGTCAGCCAGAGTCGGATCCAGGTGAGATTAAAAGCTGCGATTTTGGTTTAAGGTGATGCAACACACGATCGAACTCAGTCAGCCAGTAAGGAGGGTACATTTGATATGCTGTGCCCCTGACCGATAGTACGGCCGTCCGTTGCGAGCACGATGAATGACGAAACCAGAAAATGCGTCGTATCCATCATCATTCTAACACATCTAAGCGACGGGCATGAAATGAGATACATGTCTCATATGCGGTAGATGTACCGGACGACAACAACTGACACTACTCCTGTGTCTAAGTCAGTCACGCAGATCTCCGTAAGACGGCTAATATCGGCACTATAGCTGGTAGGGGTACGTATCCACTGCAGTTCTACTCGTATGTCTGTAGGGATACGCGTCGACGCTATTTCCTACTTCTTTTCCAAGGTTTTCAGTTCTTTCGCTTAGCTTCTGACTCGGTAGTGGATGTCCAAACGCGTTTTATTCTGTATGTAATAGGTATTGAACCGAATGTAGCACAAGCGACGTTCCCAGTCCCAGCCTGCCAAAAGGCAAAGGCCTGATAGGTCACATGAGTGCCCATGACAACGGGATTCAACGCGACGTCATCACAATATATCTGCCTTATGCACTTGGAAATTCTCCTACCATTAACACTATAAAATTTACCACCCGCATCGTCACTACGAATAGCATCGCTACGTTTCCAACTCATTAGCCACAGTTTCATCCTATTGCCACCGACCTGGTCGGGCTATTGCCAATCCATCGCACTGAGACTGGCGTGTCAGTGGAAGAAGTCCCAATATACGCCCCTCGCACCCGCGTCCCCTGCTCACTGCCCAAGGACACTCCGCCATTGCACGGGCCATGCAAATATTCGACAAAGCCACGCCCTCATCCCCATGATCACGCCCTATCTTACCTGCCCACACATCCCTAGGCCACATGAACACTCAACACCACGCGCCACACTTCGTGACAATCACCTTTTTCCGGCGGCAAGCATGTGATCCGTTTCGCCGTTGTTGTTATGGCCTGTGCAACGTCACATGCCATCTCACAGAAGTGGGAAGTATGCGCATACACGCATCCTGGTAGATCGAGTCGTGAGTAGCACACATAGATCAACTGTTCAGTCCTGTCGGCCACTGCGCTAACTTTCATAGGCTTGTTGACAGACTTGGACAGCAGACTAGCGCATGAAAAAGAGCAGCCTGAGGCCGACACTGGACATTCACCCCTACGACAAATCAGCACACTCCTCACTACATTGTCTGACGCGCACTATCTAGCATAGGGCGTTAAGAGTCGTAGGTTAGAAGGTTGCCAACTGACGGGACAACTCAGTCCGCGAGACCTGAGAGCCAGGTTCGATGGTTCCTGGATGTGGCCTTTTTGGCACTCACGAACGTGAGATCCGAGCCTCTCTCTTGCTTCTGTAAGAATCTGGTACATTATGTGGAGACCAGCTCGTGCGTGGCACACGTAGGCAGATTGATTGATTTTGTCGACCACTGCGCCCGAGTCCGTCTCTCGTCTGGACATTGTCTTGCCATTGGAGCCTGGTGGGCGAGGGAGGAGAGAGTGGTAGATTCTCCGCACATCTACTCCACTATAAACTAATTCACGCCCAAGTTACCGGAGTCGCGCCACCACGCCGTAGAACGTACGGTGGACGCCGTCACTTGCAACAATCAAACCCTCACAGTGTCTAGGTTTCTGGGCAGGTAC